TTCAGCAGGCTACACAGCTCCACGTCTTGGCCCTTTATGGGTCAGAGAGCTGCTGTGGAATCTCCACTCCGCTATGTGTGGCTCTGGGGCTGTGCCAGTGGGTCAGGGCAGGCTCTTGCCCCTGCTGTCACCTACAGCCATGCACCGAAAGCCAGCAGCGAGGTGATACCTAGGTGTGCAGTGGCACAGCAGAGGGGCCAATGCAGTACTGATATCCAGAAATAAACTGGGAAGTAGAGCAGCCGGGTGCAACCTCCTTGTGAAGTGATGGCAGAGCCCTTCATCTGGTCCAAAAAGGCCTGGTCCCCAGCAGCTATCCCTTTGTCAGAGGAGGGAACATGCCTACTTGCCCAGAGGGACTGTAACCTGCACTGCTGCTAGGGTCCTGACTTTGCCCCTAGGCTGCTGCATCCCCAGCAGAGCTCTGTCACGTCTCCCTCTCTTTCAGCTGCTGGCCAACTCTAAAGCACATACCTCACGTTTCATCAGTGCCAACCTCCCATGCAACAAATTCAAGAACCGTCTCGTGAACATCATGCCGTACGAGCTGACGAGAGTCTGCCTGCAGCCCATCCGGGGCGTGGAGGGCTCTGACTACATCAACGCCAGCTTCATAGATGGGTACAGGTAAGGGCCACCTTAGGTGCCTGGGCCAGCCACTCCAGCCTGCTTGGGAACCTAGGCACAGCTGCCTTCTCTTTCCCAAGGACTGGTCCTGCCTGCCTAGAGGTGGGCTGGGGATCACTTTGTTGCATTTTATCTATTTCCATCTTCTCTGCTCCAGTGCTTTTAGTTACAGTCTGTGAAGATGGCAAGCGAGTGAGGGCTGCCAGGCTGGCTTCTATTGCTACAGGCAGATGCCCACATGGCTGGGGTGGGAGGCTGTGCTGCCTCCTGCAGAGCTTTATAGGATCTTCTGGTAGGCATCCCTTGGCGTGCATTTTATGTCTGCAGCTTCTAAGGGAAACCTGCCCGCCCACACTAGCTGTGGCAAGCAGTGGTATAAGCGTGCTTGCACTGTGTAGCTGATCCAGGCAGCAGCCCAAGGCTTGTTGCCCCTTGTCTTTTTTTTGGGGGGCGTCTGTGGATCCTCAGGCAGGGCTGGTGCTGAACACTTGGGAGCCCATCACCAGATTCTTTCCTTTTAGAAAGCACAAACTGAAATGTAGTGGGGCAATAATACTTATGGTTCTGTATCTAACTGCTGTCATCATATTCTCAGATGCTAAGTTCCAGAATGCAGAGAAACAGCCCAGTGGGCACATCTCCTTCTCAGCCAGTCCCTGGGCAATAACCCAGACCAAATCCCAGTGACGCAAATTCACGTGTCATCTCTCTGTGCACCATGGCAGTAGGGTCACCCAGCACAAGAGCAGGGGATACAGGATGGATGTGGCATGGCCCTCTTCCAGCCTGGCTCCGCCCAAATGCTTTGTAGAGGCTGGTGACCTCCCAGGAGCAACAGGTACCGCCAAGGAGAACAGATGTTAGTGCAGCCAGGCCAGTGGCTCTGTGCCTCTGTCCCTGCTCCAGCAACTGAGCCCAGGAAGGGTTTCCAGGAGGAAGGGCTGCGTGGAGGCAAGGTGGGCAGGGAGCAGAAGGAGCAACCCTGGGAGCACCCCAACACAGCAAAACAGCAATGATGCAGGCTCCCTCAGGGTGGGACAAAGTAATGGGGAGGGATGAAGGAGCTGGAGGAAAGCTGTCAGGGAGCAGCTTCCGCTTCCACCTGCCTGCACAGCTCCGAGCCGTCCAGCCACCTGCCTGCACACCCCCAGCAGCCCAGTGCCCAGCAGCCGGGCTGCAGCCGCTCTGCCCTGGCTCCAGAGCCCATGGAGAGCCACGCTGGTTTTGCCCCTTGGTGATGCTGCAGAGGGAGAGCTGCCAGCACAGCAGGTGGTACCATTTCGTGTGCTACCTACCCCATCCCCAAAGAGCACTGTTATCTCTTCCTTTGGACCGAGCAGTCTTCTCGGTATTATCTAAAGAGATCAGCTGGCCCAAGCTCCTGCAGACATCACTGATGCTCCACCTTTATCAGCTCTTTTGTTTCGTTCTGCACCCCAGCTCCCTGATTTTTACAACATCTTGTAAGTCCACCATGAAGCAGCCCCTGTCTTCATCCTGTGCATCACAGCTGTCGTGCAGGGCGTCCCTTAGCTGCTGGTGTGGCAAGTGGGGAAGACGGTGCCCTGAGGTCTCGGGCAGCACGCCGTGGCGAGGCGGCTCCCGCGGGCAGCACACTGTGTGCTGGGAGCCCGGCTGGGCACCCAAGGGGCCAGCGTGCCCCTCTGAGCCCAACACACCAGGAGCGGGGCCCGGGCAGGGGCACGTCAAGCTCTGCCTCCACACAGGACATCCTGCGAGATGCTCTGGTTCGCAGTGTGACCAAAGGCAAGCCTAGAATTGTCAGAAGAACTGGCGAGACAGTAACACGGTGTTTTCCATGCTGCCCTGGTTAGCAGCCGGCGTGTGTGATCCAGGTGGCCTGGTTCAGTTGCTCTGTGTGTTCCCATGCGGTGGGAGGGGCGGTGGGTGCTGCAGAGTACAGGAACCTGGCGGTGCTGCCGGGATCGTCCCCAAGCACAGCCATACTTCCAGCCCAGATGGGTGCTGGTAGCCCACTCACGCGGGCCTGGGTGCCGAGAAGGCTCCCAGTGCAGCAGAGTGGGGACTAGCAGCAGCAATAGGCTGGGCTGGGGACACTGTCACCCCAGCAAGGACTGGCAGCCCTTCTGGACCTTGTACCTGCTGGCACTTAATGCATCTGTGGGGAGCACTTAGAAGACATGTGGTGAGCAGGTTCATCCCTCTGCAGAGTCCAGTCTTGAGACCTGCCTCCTGCAGCTGCACTGGTCAGCCCTGCTCCTGCTGCACAGGGCCCCTGCCTCCAGCTCTCCCAGCCCACCAGCCCCAGCTGCTGCCCACCTCCCAGGAGGTGGTCTGAGCACCGTTATGTTTGTTGCAGGCAGCAGAAGGCCTACATCGCCACACAGGGACCACTGGCCGAGACCACAGAGGATTTCTGGCGGATGCTCTGGGAGCACAACTCCACCATCGTGGTGATGTTGACAAAGCTGCGTGAGATGGGCCGAGTACGAATTCTGCTGGGGGTAGAAGGGGGCTGTGTGGCTGCTGTCTGTGAGCACAACCTCTCTGCTCACCCCAGTCTGTGGCCAGTACCAGCTGGCCCAGCCTCTCGCTGGCATTTCCTGTGGCTGACACTGTGGCTCCACAGCCACACATGCTCCCAGGGAGTGGGAGGGAGGAGCAGCAGCTCGTTGGTGCCAGTGTCTCACCGTGCTCCTCATCCACAGGAGAAGTGCCATCAGTACTGGCCCGCGGAGCGCTCTGCCCGGTACCAGTACTTCGTGGTGGACCCCATGGCAGAGTACAACATGCCACAGTACATCCTCCGGGAGTTCAAGGTGACGGATGCCAGGGTAAGTGCAGCTGCTGGCTCTCTGGCTCCCCTGCCTCCTGTGCCTCTTACTCCACCTCTGCCCAGCCCAGGCCAGTGAAGGAAGGATGCAGTAGTTCCTGGAGGAGCCGGAAAGCAAGATGCTGCCTTGCACTGCAGGCAGAAAAGGCTGCTGCCCACCATGGGCTGCTCCTCTCAACACAAGTTCCTTCCTTGCCAGCTGTGTCAGCCCCAGTGAGCAGCTCAGCGATCTCTGTCAGCACCAGAACCTGCCTTGCCTGTGCTGTGCACTCGGGCAAACATTTAACACAGGCTCCCCTGCACCTGGAGTATGCAGCATCTGACCAGGCACATGACCCCTGTGTGACAGAAACATGGTCCCCAAACAGGACCAAGGCACTGACCCAACAGACCCTGCAGGGGCCCAAACCCCTCCTCAGTTCAGCCATCCTGGGGTGAACATGGGAGAGCAGAGGCAGTACCCTGCCATGGTTTGGGGTCAGGGCAACCCCCAGAACCATAACAGATGCGCTCTGTTAACCCCTCCCCCACCCCCAAAAGGGAAAAGAGAAGGGGAATCCGGGAGCCAGCCTTGTGGATTAGAAA